CCCCAAAACCCCAAAACCCCAAAACCCCAAAACCCCTTGGAAGAAATTGTTGGTTGAAAATAAGGTTTACCCTCAAATCTTAGGCATTATTGGAATCCTGAGAGGAATCTGATTTGTTGATTTTGGTTTGCTTCTTGAGCAGGACTTCTTGCTGAAGAGGGGATGGGCTCTGCTTTGGAGGGAATAACACTAGTCTTTCAAGCTGGAGGACTGGAGACTTGATGATGAGGGCAATAGGCACGCTGATTAGGAGGGTAGCAAGTGAGTATAAGATCTGGGATGGACCGTCGAAATATAATGAGCCTTTTGATTGTAAGTAGAAGGAAGCCATGACGTGGATGTGGATGAGGTATGATACGAAGGAAATATTCGCCCAAGGTGCCCATAATTTTCCTCCAAATATACCCTTGATTAAGGAGAGTTTTCCAACAAAGAGTGGAGCCAGAAACAATCCAAGAGCTGTCGCGAAAATTGATATGTGAAATGCTTTGAAAAAGTCACTAGGTATCTGGCTGATTCTTCTGGGACCTGGATGAAGTAGTTCAACTGCTGGTAACATAATAAAGAAGAGAATAGTACAAGAGGATAATACAAATGAGAGGATGCACAAAACTGAGCTGTTACTGAATAGGTTATAAAACCTAGTACCGATAGAATGCTGATAAGTAGGATCTGTCTTGGATTTAGCCCACTCGAAGTATAAGAGCCTGAAGAGTATCCAGACTCAGTAGGAAGCACTCCTGTTGTATGGGTGTTGGTTCAATTCGATGTTAGAGTCAACGTCTTGGTCTTTAAGCATGGTGATAGTGTGCCCCCTGATGTGAGAAAATATAAAAGGAAGAACTATACCGAAAATGTTCAGGAAAATAAAAACGAATAGCCTATTAACTTGGAGTTCAGGTATAAATGAGGGTTAGTTGAAGCTTTGTAAGTTTAGAAGTTTTCTATTGATATCAGGTTTATTGACAAATGTAACCAATAATTGAATTTTCTCACTCTACATGTCAAAGAGATAAATGGTGAAAACTCTAAAATATTTAAACACATCTGTCGAAATATTTTCCTTTATAACTGATATTAGAAAATTCTTTGAATAATTTGAAATATCTTTTTGAGGAAAATCACCTCTATATGAATTAGAATAGGATATTGGAAGCCTCTTAAAGATTAGAAACTAAGTGAAGTGAATTACATAATCAAATCAAAATTATCAAAGAATCAAAAGTAAGTTTCTGAAATCCCTCCTTTAATTCTCGTTCGAATGAGGTCCCTCAACTCAACCTATCACGCACCATCAGATACTACTCTCTCCTCTATTATTCTGTGAATTTTAAAGCTTCACTAATAATTTTCCCAGTGGAAGTTTGCTAAAATACTCAATATCTTTTCTATTTCCCAAATTCTAAATGGGGTTTTGGGGTTTTGGGGTTTTGGGG